ATGAGTACATATTTACTTATTTAAGAGTAAATATATATATGATAAATTTACTCTACTTAATAATTTATGTTCTATGTTAAAATTCAATAATCTAACAATTAAATTAAAAGTTTTTAATGTATAGATAAAAAAAATTTAAAAATTGAAAATTATTTAATATTTAATTTCATTAATTTAAATTGATGAATAATCATAAAAATATTTTATACATTCTTTTGAATTTACGTAACGAAATATTATAAGGTTTTCAAATATTTTTTAAATTTGTATAATTAATCTATGTATTAAGATATTTTAATTTAACGGTTAAATCATTGGAATTTAATATAAAACACAAGTTATTAAGTGAAATGAATTTAGGAAAACTTACTCTCAGAATAAGTTTATCCATCATCTCTATGTACAGAGAGAGGGATCAAATTACTTAAAGAGTAACTTTTGGTAAAAACATTTCATTCAGCAACTCATAGTATATATTAATTTTTAATCATTCAATCGTTAAATTAATTTTTTAATGTATATATAATCTACAAAAATTTTAAAAATTTGATCATATGATACTTTTATACATAAATTTAAATCAACGTATAAAAAATATTTATGATTATCCTTTCATTTTAACTAATAAAATAAAATATTAAATAATTTTTAAATTTTTAAAAATCTATAAACTTGATCTATATATTAAAAAAATTTATTTTACAATTGAATAATTAAAATTAAATATATATTATGAGTTATTAAATAAAATAAATTTATTAATAATTATTCTTAAAAGTAATTTAATCATCCTTTTATATATATATTGACCAAGAGGCGGATGTTGAAAAAACATAGAGGGAAACAATCGTAAATAAGCAAAACTATAAAATACATTATAAAGAATAACATATTGTATTAAAAGGAAAAACTAATTATGCGCTACACCTACTTTTGTTACAATATCATTTAAAAAATAAAATAAAGCTATTAATATAGTGAAATTGTCCTACTAATACAAATAATAGCATAATGTTGGACAATAAATATCAAATTAAATACTAAATTATATGTTTTTATATAAAAGTAAAATTTTGTATAATATAATGATAATTATAATATAAAAAATTGAAGTGGCCCAATCCTGCCCATTAAATCATTAAATCCACTCGTAACAATCATGTTCTAAAGATAAACAGTGTGAATTTAAGTAGAAGTTTATAGAAGTACATAAATTATACAGAAAAAAGAAATTCGACTTTTTATTTTTCAACTAGTATATTGCGCTCTAATGACATTATTATAACCAAATACACATATTTTTAAAATTATAAAAAGTAATTACGAGCGTTTAAACTTATAGTTAAAACTCTTCATTAGTGCTCAATATTCTCGAAGCAACATTTCAAATATGAATTTTAAGAATGAAGAGAATAAGTACTAAAAAGTAAAAACATTTTATTTCCTTAAATGGGTTTATCAAACTTAGATCAGCGTAGATTGAAAGTAATTTTAGATAATAAGGATTTAAGGGGAAAAAAAAAACTCAGATAATATGTATCATAGCGGATTAATTTAAAGATAAGGGTGCTAGTTGCTGGAGTATCTCAGATGATTACTAGTGCTTATAATTCTAGGTTCATTTAACAAATAGAGTGCTTATAAATTATAAATTCACCGAGATGGGTACAAGATAAAAATGGTATTCCAGTGTAGCAACCCATATGAATTGTATTAGTATAATTTTGTAAGACCAAGGAAAGGAAAATTCAATGCAAGACGAACACAATGAACAAAAGCTTATGACCATAGACATGCATACACGACACTATATCCAAGCTATTTCCAACTCAATTAGCTTCGGAATAGACTAATGAACCGGAAACACCCTGGACTTGCAATGCAACCAGAATAATTTGTGTTGACCCTCTAATCCCCTTTTATCTTTTCTGGTTGTCTCATTCTCTGTTGTTCCTGCCATCACAAATTAACATAATTTGATTAAATTCATTCATCCCTATTGGTTACGACTTGACTAATGAACATCTTCATCTTGTTAACCCCACATACCTCCTCAACTTTCAAATCTTTCTGCTCATTTTAGGAGGTTGTAGTTGAAACATTTGCTTCTTGGGTTTCATCACACTTGACCAAAGTCTTTTCCTGTTCTGTTTCTATGGTTTCTTCTTCCTTGGCCAACACCACTTCTTTTGTGTCTTTGCTTTCTTCTTCCTTGGCTAACGCCTCCTCATTTGTGTCTTTGCTTTCTTCTTCCTTCACCAAGGTCTCTTCCACTGAACTCACATCCTCTGCGCACACACGCAAGTAAAAACAAATTCAAGTCAGTAATATAAGTTGAGGAAAAATTAAGCCAAGCCTACCAAAGGGTTGTCTCAATACTCAATAGGTTTTAAAAAGGACCAGCAATTTTAACCACAATTTTAACATTGTTTGAATTATTACAACCATGAGTTACATTTATCTATAATTTCCCACAATGTGAAGAATATTATATGGTCATAATTAAAAAAAAAAAACTTAAATGATATTGTTCTTCAATTGAAACTTTATTACAATGAAATGAATAATAAATATTAACATATCTTATTGAAGTAAAATTTTAATTATGATGGAAGAATTGTACTAATGTCTAATACTATTTAAAACTTTAGAGTGATTAAAATTAAAGTATAAAGGGTTGATTCATCATTTACACACCTTTTTGTTTTTCATTTTGATCTTTGTTTTGTTCAGTTGGTTGTTGCTCTTCAGCAACATCCTTCAGTTCTTGATCATTCCTTTCCAACGACCTGTCTTTGACAGCTTGGGACTCCTCCTTTGGCCCCTCTGCATCAACAACTTCCTCTGTCTTTTTCTCTTCAGCTTCAGTTTCCTGGCCCTTCTCCAATGCCTTATTTTCTTCCACCTTAGTTATCTCAGGAACTTTGGCTTCGACCTCTCTGGCCTTCTCGTTGTTCTTCTGTTCCACTTCTAAGCCTACCTTCTCAACATTAACCTCGTTGCTTTTGTCCACGTTTTGCACCTCCTTTTCCTTGGAATCAGCACTGGATTTCTTCTGGAGGACGGTGTTTCCTGAAGCTACGTCGTGTTTGGATTTCCCACAACCCATTTTTTTTTCTCTTTTTTTGGGTGTGAATTTGGTTGTGGGAAAATAACACGGTTAGAGAGAGAAGAAAGGGAAGGTTGATGCGAAGGTTGGAATAATGGAAGAATCCCTCTAAACGTAGTTATATAAGGAATTGAGAGAGAGAGTGTGGTTTTGACGTTGTTATGATTTAGTGGTGTAGCCGTGGCCTGCATGGAATAGGAGAGCCAAACCGTTTTTTCCGCTGTCTTGTATGCCAACTTTAGTTGTTATCATCGAAGAAACCACAAAATAACAATGGATTTGGACCAATGCAATTGTTGCTTATAATAATTAATATAGTGATAATAACTAGGAAACAAAGGTTCCCATTCCACTCCCCTGTTTTCGTGCGTTTGGATGCATGGATCCATGGAGACTCCCATGGACGGTGCTTCGTTAATAATAAACCCAATTACCCAATGCCATATATATAAATCACATAAAAATGTGATGTTAGAATTAAATATAAAAAATCACATTTCATTGCATTACTTAAAAAAAAATATTGTTTTACCCTATTCAATTATAAATCATTTCATTGGATCCTCTTAAAATCTCCCGAGCACTGCCTTGGTCTATAAATCGGTAATAAAATGCAAGTTAGATGCAAGGGATTGCCGGTAGGAGTGGGCAAAACAACTGAACTGAACTGAACTTATAAAAACTATACTGAACTTAAAAGTAGTTCATATGAACTGAGCTAAACTAAATATTAGTTCAGACGAACTGAACTGAACTATTCTTTTGTGTCATTGAACTGAACTGAACTATACTATAAAAACTTGAACTGAACTGCAATTTAAACTGCACTAAACTGTTATGATATTTTGAATTGAACAATTTTGACTCATTGATCTATCAAAATAGGACACGTTTGTCAACTTTATTTTATTTTCCATTTTATTTAAATTTTTCAAAGGAAAAAAATATAAAATTAAGTCAAACAAACTCAGTGAATTTTAAGCCTAAAAATAAGTAGTTCAACATAGCTCAATTGATCCGTTAAGTTCAACAAAATTGATATAATTTTTTTTCAAATCACTTTTTTTCTAAAATTTTGGTTATTAGACTATCGAGCTAATCTATTAAGACATAACATGTTAAACACATTTAATTTTTATTCTTTTATAAAAATAGTTCAATTTTTATAATTCAGTTCAGTTTTTATAGTTCAGTACAGTTCAACTTTACAACAGTTCAGTTCAGTTCAGTTTTTTTTAAATAGTTCAGTTCAGTTTTTTTTACAAACAGTTCAGTTTTTTATAGCACAGTTCACCACCAGTTCAGTTCAGTTCAGCTCAGTTTAGTTTTTTTTGCCCACCCCTAATTGCCGGTGTTAATTAATAAAATATTTGTTTGGGCGATGGACGATGGTGACAACTTACACCGTTTATTTAATTTATCTTGAAAGAAAGTTATATTTTGTAAGGCTTTTGAGTCGTCAAAGGTGAATCCTTTTGGGACTCTTACATGATACATAAATATGCAGACTGGATTAATTCTATTTCTATTCATTTTAACAATAATATTAATTTCAAAAGCTGATTTCTTTAACATATATATTTTGAGTAGAGGTATAAAAATATGGACAAATTATTTGAATGTTTAAAACTTACCAGACTTTAATTTGAAATATATTTTAGACTATTACCTTGCTCCCATCTCGGCCCATATAACTAGTGTAGGAATACAGGGCCAACATGTTGTTCTAATAGAGACAAAGCCCAACATGCGATTCCATGGGGAAATTAGTTGTGTACAACATTACACCAAGTAAGCACACGATATTAGGTATGTATACTATCTCAATTAATGTCTCTCGTCACCCCTTGCATTCATTAACTTGAATGTCAACCAGACAAAAATGAAAAAATAAAATCTGGATAAATACCAATACTTATTACAGATGTAAGGAGAGAAAATGAAATAAATAATTCTTTCGACCCTAAATAAAAAAATAAGAATTGAATATACTAAAAAGGTTGTATCTATTTGAGTTGTTGTTAGAAAAGTTATATTAGTATTTTGATAATTAAAAGATATTTTTAAGGTGGTAATTATTCCTATGAATTGTGCTTGCAAGTGACAAGTTAAAGATAACAAGTAGTTGTTAGAGATAGAGAGTGGAAAAAGGGATTAATATGTGGAATGAACCCCATTGGGGGAAATTGGTTTCCCTGGTGCTCAAGTAACCCCTGCGTCCCGCCATGGCCCATGAGCATGGAACTCCAAGTGGGATTAAAAAAATGAGAAAAAAGGGGAGAGAGAAAATGGTCCATTTAAGTTAAATATGAAGATGATGGGATCGCCGTCTTTCTCTTTTTGGGATAACGCCACAATCGTATATCATATATCTTCCCAAATCGGGAAACTCTCTTCTCGCACACGCCCAACCCCATGGAAGCCGAACGTCTTGATTTTGGGAAGATGGGATATGGGTATTCCGTTTTCCTATTCCTATTCCGTTTTCCTTCTTTTCAATGTCTCACTCCTTTTCTTCACAGGTGCAACCATTACAGGAGAAGATGCAGTATTCGTGCTCCCTGCTGCAACGAGATCTACTCATGCCGTCACTGTCATAACGAAGCAACGGTATTTCATTTCCCTTTTCCAAGGTTTTGTCTTTTTGCTTTTATCTCATCCGGCTCTCTCTTCTTTTCCCCATCAGACCTTCTTCAACAATCCCTTTGATCGCCACGAACTCGTTCGCCAAGATGTTCAACAAGTAAGGACAATAATACTTTCCATTTTCCACACTTTTTTTATAAATAAAAAAATATATATGTATGTAGGTTATCAAATGGAGATGATAATAAGACTAATGCACTTTTTACATCTTTTTGTTGTTTCAGGTTGTTTGTTCGGTTTGTGACACTGAACAGCCTGTATGTATTCATTTAATCATATTTTGATTCTTTATTTTCTTGGTTTTTGTTAGAGGGATGATTTGGTCCGATGGACTCCTGATATTATTTCTGTTTTTTTTCTTTTATAATTTTTTTTCTCTGTTGCTTTTGTTTCTTATGAAGGTTGCTCAAGTTTGCACAAACTGTGGCGTCAGAATGGGAGAATATTTCTGCGACATCTGCAAATTCTTTGATGATGATGTAATGATTCACTGAACTGAATAAATCGGCAGTATCCGATTGTTTTAGACTTCTTGAATGTCATTGATCTATTTCTACTTTGGCCTTTACTCTTTACTCTTTAGAGATGGACTAGACTGAACTTGTTGTATGATCCTGGATTTTGATTGTTGTTGTTTTGTGGTGATGCTGACTGATGTTTTGTGGTGATGCAGACAGAAAAAGAAGTGTTTCATTGTGATGATTGTGGGATCTGCAGGTGCGTTGGCTTACTACTGTACAGTGTGTTTGAGTATATATCCTTCTGTCATGTCATGTTCACAATTAAGTTTCCCAAAATTTATGACACGCAAACTAATTTTGGCAACAGGGTTGGTGGTCGACATAATTTTTTCCACTGCAAGAAGTGCGGTATGCATTCATCACCAAGGCCACCATTGTAGTTTATTTGATAGATTTAAGTAATAATAATTGGTATAGTTTGCATGTTAAAATAAGAAGGCTTCATTCCTCTTAAGCAAAGTTTAATGACTAAATCCAGTATATGCTGATTTTAAAATTTTCTGATTAGAATGTTTTAGGTTCGGTAAAGGTGAACCACTTGTTCTTACTGCTCGGGCATTCTTTTGAGATTAGAGTTTGAACAGATTTCCCTCTCTAACAATAATTTGCCATGCAGTCCTCTATGTAGATTATTTCCTAACGTTTGAATCTGGAGGCTGATATGATAATATATCACATTAGTGAATTAATGAATTTTTTTTTTCTTCTTTTGGCAACAAATGAAATACATTGCTCAATAATTTTTGTTCAAGGTTTTCTTTAGTGATTAACATTTTGAGTTGCAGGGTCTTGTTATTCAATTGCTCTGCGTGATAAACATGTATGTGTGGAGAACTCCATGAGGCATCACTGTCCCATTTGTTACGAGGTGCCTGCTTTATTCTTCCTTCACCTTGGCTTTGGTTTCCAGCCATACATGGATTTTCTTATTTGTGTCATTGGAAACTGAGATTAATATGTTAAGTGATGGGACTTTATTCTGTTTGTGTAGTACCTTTTCGATTCATTGAAAGACACTATTGTTATGAGATGTGGTCACACAATGCACCATGAATGTTACCAAGAGATGATGAAACGTGACAAGTGAGTATCTTCAATTTTTGAGAATTCTTTGGTCTATAAACATGCACATGCTTAACAGTTAACTTGCTTTTGGTACTTGGGTTAGATATTGTTGTCCCATATGCTCCAAGTCGGTGATTGACATGTCTAGGATGTGGAAGAGAATTGATGAAGAGGTAGTTGATTTAATTAAAGCGCATAGATGCTTTCCTTCACTTGATTTGTAGATTTTATATCGTGCTATTATCTAGTCAAGAATATTGCTTGCATAAATATTGTGCTTCAGTTCAGTTAGGATTTCTTGATGATCTCTTTATTTTCATGTGATATTAGATTGAAGCAACTGTCATGCCTGAAGATTATCGATTCAGAAAGGTAAAGTTTCATTCTTTGAAATGCTTTTAATAGCTACCTCTGTTTATCTCCAGCTGTGAATGGAAAAATGAAAAGTGCTTCTGAGCATGAATGCACCTTTTAGTCCTTTATGCGCCTATGTAGCCAAATAACCTGGCAAATTTATTATAAAAAAAATGGTTTGATATTCAAGAGAAAGCTTACATGTGTAATATATGGATGATGCCATTTTAATATGTAATTATAGGATGTGTTGAAATGGTACAGAATCTTCCTGTGCATATCAATTACACATGTATACATAAGAATATAGCTAAGCATCCCCGTACCAAAGAGACTAAGAATCCTCCATTGTAGGTTTGGATTCTATGTAATGACTGCAATGACACAACCGAGGTTTACTTCCACATTCTTGGCCAAAAATGCGGTCACTGCAATTCATATAATACTCGTGCAGTTGCACCTCCAGTTCTTCCTCAATGACCATTCAAGAAGGCAACAATGTGAGGCAGAAAATTAAAGTTAGCTCCAACCCGGTTATGATAAAGGGTTATTGAATTAAATTCATCATCAAAAGTAATTGGTGTATTGTTTCCTGGATAGTTTTCTTTGGTAATTCTTCCTCCAACATATGGAGTAGGATTGGTGTGTCTTCATTATTGAGCAGATATAAACATCTGTATACATACAGGGAAAACTATTTTCCCATCACGGACTGCTGGTAATAGTGATGTATTGCTACTGAATGATTTGATTGCATGGTCACCCATATTCACATACATACCTTCATTGCGTTCCATGGAATCACGCCACATTTATTTTATGAAGGACGGGGAACACAATCTCCTTCATTGTAGTCCTGAACCTCACTAGAGTTTGGTTCGTCTTATTTGATCCATCTATTCTGTCTCACCCGTTATGATTGTTGGTTTTTATTATGCTATTCCCAGCCATGATTTCACAAAAGCAGAAATAATCGTTCTCTCATTTTCAACTTGAATTGACCGTTCCTTACAAGTAGGCAATTTGATGCTATATTATTATTTTTTAAATTCATCCATCATACTTTTATTCTTATAACTCATTCTTATTTCAATTTCATAAAAGAAAACATTCTTTTTAGCTATCCACTTTTAAGATTATATGTTTACAAGCAGTCAAGTTATGGCAAAAAAAAAAAAAAAAACTAGTTGCAATGCGATTTAAATTGGATAAATTTGAATATAATTTCAAATCAAATTTAATTTTATCCGATTTATTATGGTTTAGATTGTATTGGTTTATTTTATTTTTGTATTTATTTTTTAGAGTTAACACTATAAACAAACTTGACAGAAGTAAAAAAATTAAAGATTTATAAACAACTTGCAAAGTTTACAGTGACGAAAGTAGACCAATTTATCGCAACATCAATTTTATTGAAACAATGTCCCTACATCATGAATATTCAAAGCATACATGACAATAATATTAATGTGTTGCTTGAAACTCGAACTTGCCTTGACAAATGTAGAGAAAATTTAGACATAAGATGTTTGGAGGAGACATATTACATAAAATTTCATAATAAGTGTGTTGTTTGATCTGATTTTATGCATAATAATCAAAGTCTGAACCACATAAAAATCAATTATTTGATTTATTTTAGTTAATGGTTTTTTTAAATTGGTTTGGCTATTGAAAACAATTTGAATTGGATTATGACTACCTCTAATAACTAATTTATTATTTATGAATCCATTAGGGGGTAGATGACTTGAAAAACATGCATTGAAACTGTTAACGGAGTAAATATTCATTTTAGATTCTAAAATATACATTTGGAAAAATTCTTTTACAAATTTTAATGAATTATTGTAAATTCTAATACATAAAATGAAGAAAGAAAAACATTATTACTTTTGGATTAAAATTATTTTTAGTTTTCTCAATTATAATTCAAACATACATTTCGTTCCTAATTGAAGTGGCAACGAGCAAAGCATATAGCTAAAAACAATGCAATCCGTAATTTTGATATTATTTTTCAATTAAAATAAAAATTTTATTTTAATAATCTTATATATTAAATATAAATCTCTATTTTGCATGAGAATGTTTTTACAAAACTTTCTTTGACTCTCTTTACTTAGAAATAAAATAATTTAAATTAGATTTGGTCAATTAGAATGTGTATTATCAATATAGGAGATATTTTAATTAAAAATATTCATAGATTTAAGACAAAGAAAAAGAAAGATTTATCTATTTTTTAGTTATTCTTGATAAACCAATGTTTATATATAGATGTAGGAAGATTTGTTTAGGATTGTAGAATTTTTTTTAACTTCTTTTTTAATTTAGTTATTATTTATCATAATTATCTATGAAAAAATTAATATTTTATATAAATTATCAATAAATAAAATAAATTTATATTATAATATAAACTATTTATTATAAATATAAAATATTATTTATATGTTTAAAATATTTATTTAATATTCATACAAATTTTAGATATAATTTATATATTAAAACATAACATTTATTATATTTAATTTATTATAAATTTTAATTATATATAATAAATATATACATGCATTGCATAGATTAAAGAATTAGTATATATTGATATCAATTAATATTTTTTTTACACATTACTAAAATTTAAAAAAAAAAACTTTTGATTGAAGAATAACGACATCCTAACATAAAACTGCATTTAAATTTTGTCGTATAACAAAAAGAAAGAGAAGGAATTTCAACTTCCTCAGCCCAAATTACTCTTATTTTTATATTTAGTTTCCAACTCTTTAAACTTAAAAAATAACAAAGAAACTAATACTTTACCGTTATATATAATTTAAATTTATAATAAATTAAATATAAATAAATTCTATATTTGAATATAGAAGTTATATGTAAATTTTGTATAAATATTAAATAAATATTTTAAAATATATAAATAATATTTTAAATTTATGACAAATAATTTATATTATAATACACAATTATTTTATTTATTGATAATTTATATAAAATATTAATATATTATTTAAAAATAATTATGATAATTAATAATTAAATTACATTTAAAATTAAAAAAATTTCTTATAATCTATTTTTAAAAAAATATTTATAATGATTCGTATTTAATATATAAAAGTCAATAATATAAGAAAAATAAAAAGTTTTAAAAAAATAATAATCAAGATAAATAGTCACTTTTCCATAACATTATTATAATATTTTTATTTATAAAAAGTCACATTTTAGTTAAAATATTGCTGAAATAACGAATTAAAAGAAGAAGAAAAAAGTGTAATTTGAATGCGAGTCCATGTTAACAATGATGTAGACTGTTCCACCAAATCGCTCTCTCTTTCACCGTTGTCTCGTAAACCCTGAACCCAAAGGGTTCCATTCGTAGCATCTTCCTCCCTTAACCTACCGAGTTCGCCCACCCGGAACTGCCAACTGAGTCGTGACTCGCTTCCTTCACATTGAACCATGCAAGTCGTCTCCAACGCTCGCCGAGTTTCTCGGCTCTTCCTTTCGCCTCATCTCCGAAACTCCGAAGCTCTCTCCCTTTTCTCAGGTCACTTCTACTTTCTTCTCTCATAGAGAAAATTAACCAATCACTTTTTGAAATCCATTTTTCAATCGAACGATTTAATAATACGATAGTTACTGAATTAGACAGGGTTTACGCAACGTGATTGCCGGCGAGTGTCAACTGATCCAATACACTGCTTCTTGTCGAAGGCTTTTTACTCTACTGGAGTGGATACCGTTCAAGGAGCTCCTACAGGTTCTTCGGTCGCTCGTTTCGCATAAATTGCTCTTCAGATTTCGTTTATGTTTGGTTTATATGATGTTGAATGTCGCTGCAGAGGATGTGAAGGAATTATATGATAAAATGATTGACTCTGTAAAGGTTAAACGGTCGATGCCTCCGAATGCTTGGCTGTGGTCAATGATTGCAAATTGCAAACACCATCACGATATTAGCCTTCTATTCGACATTTTGCAGAACCTCCGCAGATTTGTTAGTTTCTATTCGTTCACTTTCTGCTGCAAATTATTGTTATTTTGGTCATGAGTTTTAACCTTTTTTTTTTTTTTTTTTTTCTGTGAGCAGAGGTTGTCCAATCTTCGAATTCATGACAATTTTAATTGCAATCTCTGTCGAGAAGTTGCCAAGGCTTGTGTTCATGCAGGAGCTCTTGATTTTGGTATGCGCATTTTACTGGTGCCTCTACTTGTGTTTTTTCCATTTGTGAAACTTAAAACACATGAGATATTGAGGCTGTGTGGCTTAAATGTGTGCACAGGAAAGAAGGCTTTGTGGAAGCATAATGTCTTTGGTCTGACCCCAAATATTGCATCTGCTCACCATTTACTGGTATTGTTGGCGTATTGATGTTCTCAGTTCTTTGACTCTGTATCTGATTTTTAATTTGTGAGTTACTGTCAATGCTGCAGCTGTATGCTAAGGACCACAATGATACTAAACTATTGGTGGATGTAATGAAACTTATTAGAAGGAATGATTTACCATTGCAACCAGGCACAGCAGATATAGTTTTCAGGTATATTGAAATTCTAACATTTTATCGCTTTTGTTTTGCAGTGCACAGGGTCTTCTGTAAAAGAGTAGTCTTTTAAATTTGAATGTGGTTTTTACCTCCAAAACTAGTCACTAAACTTTTATTAGATATAATTATTCTCTCAGTTTCTAGCTGGCATACACTCATTTCGAATCCTATCTTGTTGTTAGTCCCCCAAAACAGTATATTGATTGTGTGAAAGCAACTGGTGCCTGTATATGTGGAAGGTTATAAGTCAAAAATACAGTTGGTTTGTATAAATTTCTGAGATTGCAATAGCATGAATGCATCATCATACAATGTATTTCGTACCACAAACCTTTCTTTGAAGCTGAAAGTTAAGCAAATCAAGACAAAAAGAGAAAACTTAGCCTTTTCTTCGCACCTACAAAGGTTTTCTTTAATATTTTGATATTTCCCGACCTTAAAGCATTTGATATAAGTACAGGAACTTATATTATACTCATTTGGGTTAAGCCTTCTTGTTATGATTCTTCTGTTCTCCTCCATATATGCCTCTGACCCATTACCCTGGTTGATCATATGCAGCATATGTTATAATACAGATGACTGGGAGTTGATCAATAAGTATGCAAAAAGGTTTGTTAAGGCTGGTGTAAAATTGCGACAAACCTCATTTGAAACATGGATGAATTTCGCTGCCAAAAGAGGTATACATATTTTGAGATTTCTTTTCTATTTCATATTTTTCTTGTTTGCCTAATTTTGTGAGCTTTTTTCAGCTTTAATGCAATATAAGTTTGTCAAGTGGATTCCTTTATTGAACATTGAGACACCCACAAACCTATGGAAATTTATCAGTTGTTATGGTGGCAAAGCTGTTGTTTCTTATTCCTGAAAAAAATTGTCAGAAGCCCAAAAAATAGACTACATAGATCTGGCTCTACCATTGGTATTTTAATTTACTGGCGGCTGTTGCACTTGCACTGGTTTCATGCAATTTTTCTTCAAATGAATGCCCTCTAGCTAGCCCAAGTGGGGTTTTGGTTGTAGAAAAATTTAGATAACTGATTTATGCTGTTATTCGGTGGCAATAGAGGGCAGGTGCTAACTTTGTTAAGTGGGTCTGGGATATGTCGTAGTTTTAGACAAATGATTTGAATTCTTCCACTTTATTTATTTGATAGCTTACATTTTGGCCTTATAATATTGTCTTCTGTATAGACATTTGGAAGTTTGTTTTAGATATGTAAATGAGCTAGTTTGTAACCTAGTTAATAGAATATCCATAGTAAATTTGGCTTACTTGATAAACACTTTAAATATTTGAAGGATGATGATCAACTGATTGTGTTCATCCGTTTGTGTCTTCTAGTTTTGAAAAACACTGGACTTATTGAATAGTACCAGATAAAAAAGCTCTGTGAATATCTTTATGCTGATTTAATCATCTGTGTATTTCATTATCTTCTTTGTAGGAGACACCGAGTCATTGTGGAAAATAGAAAAATTGAGATCTGATTCAATGAAGCCACACACTTTGGCAACTGGATTTTCTTGTGCCAAGGTAGCAAATCCATCTACACTATTGCCTGATTTGACAATTAATTTTGATTATATTGCAGTTACCAGGTTTAGATGCTATGTGTTGTATATTACACAAAATTTCAATGAGTTTTGAGCAGTAGATATTGTGCTCTGTGAAAACATGTCATATTGCACAAAGTTTCTCGTGTTTTTGGCTTGTTTTAATTCATTAACATGTTATCCTTAAAAATAGTTTAGTTGCTCTTGAAAAAAAATGCTTCTTAATTTTCTTATTTGTTTATCTAATATTACATTTGTCTCATTTAAGGTTCCAGTGAATGGGCTGGGTCATACCCGCATTTCTTGGAAGTAAGCCTAAGCTTTTTATTTTTTAATATTTTTACAGGGTCATCTGTTGGAACGTAATCCCAGTGGTGCAGTTGCTGTCATTCAAGTTCTAAATCAGGTATGGACTGTATGTTCTTGAACATGTTCACCTGTTATAAATTTCATTGCTAAAGAGTGAAACTAAGAAATGCTTCTGCAATAGGAAGTAAAACAATGGGAGATAAAATTGCTAGGTTATTACCCTGAAAACGTTGCTTGAAATAAAAATCAGTTTAGATAAGGCCATATGTTTTGTAGCTAAATTTATAAGTTTTTCGGAAAGGAACTTCAAAATCAAATTAGTTCCAATAACATGGAATTGAAGGAACTATATATCATTAGTTATATTTGTTAAAACGTTTGTTGTTGCCTGGCTTTGATATGATATGAATATGATCATTGTAGGTGATGAACTTATGATAGAATTGAGTAGGTATGACTTGGATGATGTGAGGCATTGGATTGATTTTATGATAATGTTAATCCTTCACAGTTCGCATATATTATATCGTGTTCAATTTCGTGATGGTTGTATTGAACTATTGATTATAATGTCTGCTAGCATACCCAATGGAAGTTCATATTTTTCTTTGCATTGTTTGGTATATATAATTTACTTCTTTTGAATCAACTGTTGCTAGACCCTGTCTGATGCAAAAAAGTCAGGCATCAAGGGTGAACTTCAGAAGCTTGTATCTGAGTGGCCTTTGGAAGTTATTAAGCACCAAAAAGAAGAGGACAGAAAGGTATACTATCTTGGTCGTGAAGAAAATTTTCTTTTTACGTTTTGGTTCAGTTGTGGTGTTATAACTCTTACAAGTGGCTTTTCCGACAGGCATTAGCAGCCTCTTTGAAATCTGATATCCTTGCTATGGTTAGTGAGTTACTGAGCTTGGGGCTTGAGGCAAATGTAAGTTTGGAAGACCTAGACAAGAAGGAAGGTGTTCCACAATAGCATGGAGCTCAGAATTTGATGACATTATGTTTTAGAATGTGCTTGTTTGCGGAGTAACTCCTTAGCAGGATGCTTTCTAGCCCTGGTTTGATACCGAGCCTGCGATCATAGCAAATGTTGATTACTAAATTAAAATTATTATTTTGCTTCCATTCTTACCATTTGTTATTTTATGTCCAACAAGTGCTTGAGGCTTTGGTAGCATATCAGTTAGATTTAGTTAGTGTTTTGAGATCTGAAATTTGCAATTTTTGTGAACCGGTCGAGCAATGTCCGGTGTAACATTAAATTGTTCGACTTGTAGTCTTGAACGACTAAATTTTTTTTTCTTCTTGGATTCTAGGTAATATGGGTTAATTTGATTATTTAAATGCTAAATGATTGTGTTCGTAGTGGCCTACTGCATACGTATTCCTTTGTCAACCCAAGTTTTTTTTTTGGTCAAAGGAACCTTGATTGAAAAGCTCAAAGGGCAACCCAACAATACTCACATACAAAGGAGCTCTTAGATCTCAAAAGAGAATAATACAATTTTGTAACACCATCTTATGAACATTAAACCACAATGTTAACTGCCGTTGTCTCAATCTAAATTCGAAACCATCCATTTCTCCTAGGCCAAACAAAATTTTCAGCCCTGAAATAATTATAGTTATGGCCTACTTTTTATTTTTTTGATAATCCAAATAATTGAAAATAAAAGAAGTACAAAGGGTATTCTAACCCAAGGACGGAGCCAAGGGGGGACCTACGGGTGCCACGGCCCCCCCAACAATTTTAATTTTTTTTTATATACATAATGTATATTACTATATGGCACCCCCTATATGGCACCCCCAGTATTGAAATCCTGGCTCCGTCCCTCCCATTATAAAATATTACATGTGAACTAAAAATACCGTTCCATAACTAGGAACCTAAGCTAGACCATCACATTTAACTAACAACATTGAAATAGAAATTATAGAATCAGATTTCTCTAATAGACTCATTTACCACTTGAATACATTTATCTAAGTGAGGCAAGTTGCTGGATTCATGGACCAAGAAGCAAAATCGTACAAAATTTTTTTATGTCTTGTCCTTAACTCATTCTAGGTTCTAATTTTAACCAAATCTACCATTTCCATTGCAGATATTTATGACCTACTCAATGCCTCGTTACGACGGCCTCTAGAGAACCACTATGTTAACTGCCGTTGTCCCAAAGTTATTGGAGCTGCCTTCCTCACCAACAATGACCGGCATTGAGACGAGGGAATATGTGGTAAAAGGATTGTGAATAATAGAATAAAATGAAAGAAACAAAAAAGTTTGATTTGGGAGAGAAAAATATTTTCAATACAGTTAAAATTACAATTGCAGGGTACATAAATTGTAACATGCGCATGTCTAACTACCATTTCCATGCAAAAGTTTAACCAGAGTTTAAGAGCTATTGAAACAAGCTGGTGCATGAGTGGTTCTACCGAGGCAACATCTCTTATGGTGTGTTTATCCAACTCGAGATTCTAAAAAAAAATTATTAAATTTGGGGAAAAAAAAAGGAAAGTATTTTGTTTTACTTAAGATGGATCGATTTTTGGTTGTGTTGCCAAACACGCATTTACGGAGGGGAAGACACTATAGTCGATTCTTTGGGGGATCTACGTAAAGCAAAATCATGGCAAAATTAGACATAATTTTGTTGAATTTCAATGATTCAACTGTTAAATTAAAAATTCTTAATATATAAATAAGTTTATCAATTTTTAAAAATTTGAAAATCATATAATACATTATTATATAAATTCAAATACCTATTACTATATGGCACCCCCTATTTTTAATATAAACTCATATTTTTAATATAAACTCATATGTATATTACTATATGGCACCCCCTATATGGCACCCCCAGTATTGAAATCCTGGCTCCGTCCCTCCCATTATAAAATATTACATGTGAACTAAAAATACCGTTCCATAACTAGGAACCTAAGCTAGACCATCACATTTAACTAACAACATTGAAATAGAAATTATAGAATCAGATTTCTCTAATAGACTCATTTACCACTTGAATACATTTATCTAAGTGAGGCAAGTTGCTGGATTCATGGACCAAGAAGCAAAATCGTACAAAATTTTTTTATGTCTTGTCCTTAACTCATTCTAGGTTCTAATTTTAACCAAATCTACCATTTCCATTGCAGATATTTATGACCTACTCAATGCCTCGTTACGACGGCCTCTAGAGAACCACTATGTTAACTGCCGTTGTCCCAAAGTTATTGGAGCTGCCTTCCTCACCAACAATGACCGGCATTGAGACGAGGGAATATGTGGTAAAAGGATTGTGAATAATAGAATAAAATGAAAGAAACAAAAAAGTTTGATTTGGGAGAGAAAAATATTTTCAATACAGTTAAAATTACAATTGCAGGGTACATAAATTGTAACATGCGCATGTCTAACTACCATTTCCATGCAAAAGTTTAACCAGAGTTTAAGAGCTATTGAAACAAGCTGGTGCATGAGTGGTTCTACCGAGGCAACATCTCTTATGGTGTGTTTATCCAACTCGAGATTCTAAAAAAAAATTATTAAATTTGGGGAAAAAAAAAGGAAAGTATTTTGTTTTACTTAAGATGGATCGATTTTTGGTTGTGTTGCCAAACACGCATTTACGGAGGGGAAGACACTATAGTCGATTCTTTGGGGGATCTACGTAAAGCAAAATCATGGCAAAATTAGACATAATTTTGTTGAATTTCAATGATTCAACTGTTAAATTAAAAATTCTTAATATATAAATAAGTTTATCAATTTTTAAAAATTTGAAAATCATATAATACATTATTATATAAATTCAAATACCATATAAAATATTTTTATAATTATCTGTCAATTTAAATTAATAAAATAAAATATTAAATAATTTTTCAAAATTTTTAAACATTTGTAGGACATAAAGAACTTTTGATTTAATAGTTAGATCATTGAAATTTAACATACATGATTAATATTAAACAAAGTAACTTTAATTATAATTATTCTTAAAATAATGTGATTCCTCCTTTTATATATATATTAAATAACCTAAAAAAATTAACTTCAATTTTATTTCATTTTAATTAAACAACTTTTATTTCTGCTATTTTTCTTTCTTCTCATCTCAAATGCTCTTTTACATTCTCCCTAATTTTTTATTCTCTAACAGTTAGTTAGTTAAAAGTTGCAGGTGTTGTGATTGTTGCCATACATCTAAAAAAAGTTTAATATACAATATATACTTTCATTTATAATTGTTTATATTTCTCACAATTTATATTTTTATACACTCATCTCAAAATCATGAGACAATGAGTTATCAATGTTTTATTGAACACAATATTTAAAAAAAAAAATTGAAAATCTCGCAATGTGAAACATTTTAAAATGGATTTAGTCTATTTCAACATTTTACCCCAAAAAAGGTCGCCCTGAAACAGCGAAACTATTGAATATGTTTCTGTTGGAAAACAAAAGTTGAACAGTAATGGCTTCATCTTGGGTTACAAAGTTGTAATACGATTACTGGGTATTATTAGCAGCAAAAATAAAAAAGAGATAGGCGTATTATGTCTGTGGAGTCCATCCCATAATATGGATTTTGGACATTAATTGAAGCGCCTTTCTTAGGACAAAAGCAACTTAAATGGTCTTTGCTCTGTATATTGGGTTGTATTGTATCTCCCTGTGTGCAACCAAACACACACATGGTACCAAAATCAAACACCATGTAATTAATATCCTAACAAGTTGAACCTACAAACTCATAATTTCTCTTTTAATATTCTCAACGACATCGTTTCCATCACCACCATTTTGCACCAACGCCGTGATCGCCAATATCAAATTCCCATCATCAACGGATACATTGGCAGCCAAAACCTCAGTTTGGTACTTGTAAAACACCTTCAAAATTACCGTTATCAAACCGGGTCGAGCCAAGGATTGAATGCCAAAGAATACAACATTGGCAGACACAGTAACCGTGATGGAGCAATTCCTGTTGTTATTATTATTATTATTACCGCATGCAATCCTCAACCCTTGTACCCCTTTCAATTTCATCGACTCCTTCAACTCCTCCAACCTTTCCTTCTTCTTCTCAAGCTCCTTAATGTACCGAATCGTCTCGTTTATAATCACCTCCCTTGTTGCCTATGTGTCCCAAATACACCCAAAAGGGAGAAAATATCAAATATTGAGTTTTGACATTAAAATTCAAAACCCATGTAACCAAAACGTACAAAACATGCAATATGTGACATGTATTATTGAAACCACATAAAATGTTGAAAAGGGCATTGATGAACCTGAGGAAAGACACCGGGGATAGTGGTTCGAAGCTGAGTGAACATGTGAGTCATCTTGGACCTTCTTTCACGTTCCATGTTGAGGCTCTCGCAATTGGTGTCATCCAATCTTCTAACACGCTTTCTGGGGTTTTCACCATTGGTTATTGAAGGACCGAGCAGAGAAGAAGAAGAAGGTGGGATTTGAGAGAGTGGTGGCATGGTTGAGTCTGTTTCAGTGTGCCCTTCCATCTTATTTCGTTTATCTCTCTTATTCTCTCACCCCTCTTATGTTTATATTGTTTATATACCAAACGATTTTGTATTAAGGGTGCTGTTAGTACATGATTGCAGTAAAAAGATATATGCTCCTTCTTGGGAGATATTATGCTTTTTTCTTTCTTCTTCATTTTCGTTATTTTCTATTAATGTTATGTTTGTTATTGTCATTATCTATAGTCTATACTTGCGTGGAAGGATTTCATTTTCTCAATTGAAATAAAACTAATTAAGGAAAGAGCCATTCTAAAACTGTATTATAATGTTAGGGCTTGACACTAGCACAAAATGGTTCCATTGGGTAGGTGTACTAGTAAGCACCCTTTCGGTCATGCAATAGGCCGAAAGGGGTGCCCAAACTAATGAAACGCACTAATTGGCACCCCTTCGGTCAGACAATAGGCCGAAAGGGGGGCCCGAACCGAGGAACCGCATCAACTAACCCCTCAGGTCAGGCAATAGACCGAAAGGGGTGCCCTAGCCGATGAAACACATCACCCCCTTCGGCCCCGAGCTTGGCCGAACACCCCCTCGACCTCAGGCTTGGCCGAACACTCCCTCGGTCTCGTGGGTAGTCAAAAACCCAAAGAGAAGGGATCTGAAGCTATTCAAAACACCCCTTCGGCCCCAAGCTTGGCCGAACACCCCTTCGGCCCCAAGCTTGGCCGAGCACCCCTTCGGCCTTATGCTTAACCGAAAACCTGAAGAAAGAGCCTATGATAAACACGTGGCAAGCCAAATGCCTACTATGCATTAATTACCATACCAGATTAAGACAGGATTAAGGTTAAGTCATGTATTACCCATCTCCCAAGGATGAAGGTCCATCAGGCCCACATATGTCACTATAAATATACAGGTGATGTGACATAAATGAGGTACGTTACTATTCCCGCTAATGCATTTATTGCTCTGAACCGAACACTGACTTGATCGTCGGAGTGCCTTTGCAGGTACCCTCTCCCACCACTCGGAGCTAGTGTTCGGTCGGCACGGAAGATTCAGAAGGACTTGGAGGCAGCTAGGAAGGATCAAGGAGAGGAGTGTTCTTACGCAGGAACAGTAGGGAAATAGGTAGAGAGGGTAATTGATTAGATTCCCATGGCCATGTGACAGTGACACCTTCCTTTATCATCATCCATGCAGATCGCAGAGTAACCGTATGAGTGGGATAAAGCAGCAGAGACTAAAATAACAGACTTCGTGGGCCCCACAAAGTGATGAACAATAAAAGTGAAAAGAGAAGTTTGTTTTGGAATGGGAAGTCAAGGAAACAAAGTATAGCATAGGCCAATTGCTGGTGTCGGGGGCTGTTTTCATCTCAAGATCGTCTAAGCAAGTTGGGTAAAAATGCATTGGTCAATTATTATTACATTACATTCTATTAACCTTGTTTATCTACAAGTTGTTGGAAATAGTAGTATTAAGTTCAATTTTTTTAAACAAAATTGTAAATAAAAAAAATATTCATGATTAAAATTTGGAAAATGATGGTCTATTAAATATAGTCAATCAAGTTTTCTGATAAAATTTAAATATCAACAAAATCAATAGATATTTTATATCAAATTACTAATATTTTGGTTTATAAAAAAATTACCTTGGTTACTTGTTAAGTGTTACTTTTTTTGTACCATACAATTATTAACTTGACAAACATTCATAATTTAGTAGTCACTTTTTCTTCAAATAATGGATTTGAATCATGTTTAAGAACGAAATTAAATGAATCCATTTTCATGCTCAAAATTTACAAACTTTAATTCCTTATTCCTTGTGTGTCGTGTTGTATGAGATGAGAATGAGAATTTTATTGTCTGTCCTATAAAGCAATCGGAATATGTAAGGACAAGCACAGGCTACTTAATTTTCTTTTCCCTTTATTTGTTCATGTCTATTGCTTTTGTTACCTTCTTGATAATTTTGTAGTTCTAAGGAGAGGTTTTATTTGGAGGCTGATGATCAGTTCCCTTTTCAAGCTTTCAACCAATTTAGTTCTCAATGATGGGAGTTAGAATGCCAAGAAATAACACAACAGAAAATTGTACTAATTCAACGGTTCAACGAGACTATTTAGCTGTTTTTTTGGTTAATTTTAAATCATATCACCATCGTGTTATGCATTTCTTTCCCTTCCATTTCTCCTTACGTTAATAGCGTAAAGTGACACAAGTCTAGAATGCCATGCATTTCGCATTGGGCTTAGCGTGTGGCTTACTAGGGGGCCCAGTTTTGATCCCATGAGCCCATTCTATGACCCATTCATTCATCCTAGAGATGAGAACTAAATTTATATATACGTAGATAATATTTAAATTTGTCTTGAAATATAAAATGGAGATAAATATATATATTTATTCACTAAATAGAGTAAATAGTTAATTTGGAGCAATTAAAACAATTTACTGAACAAGTCTGTTATAGAGAATACATAATAGACGGGAACCTGAGTTGACAAGAATAAAAATTCTGAGACACATTACAGTAAGAAAGATGGTTAATAAATAAAATAAAACAAGGTTTATTATTTTTGAATTGATTAACTAAGGTCTCCGATGAAGCCTTACGACAGGAAGAAGGAGGAGTAAGAGGAATAGTAATGATCCAAGCAGTGAGAAGGCAATAGAAGCAGCCATTTGATGACAAAATTTGTCAAAGACATTGCACACCTTGTTCCAATGCACGTGAGAGTTCCCTTTGTACCCAAGGACACCCGCTGCGGCGGCGGCACCGTTGCCGGAAAAGAGCAAAGCCACCATGAATGCGTCCAGGACAACGATCAATATCCATAGCCCTTTGCTTTTGCCTCTATTTACCACGCCAACCAATAGACTCAAGGCTGCATACGTGCATGCTATTGCATTCGCCACAAAAAAGTACCTGCATAGTATAACTCAAAGTTAACATTCACCTACATATCTATCTCAATTAATCACCTTTGTATCAAAAAACTTGGTATAATAGAATTTGGATCTCTCCTGCAATTTTTTTTTTTTTTTGTTTTAATATGATTCTGATAGCATAACCAATTTTGATCAAGATAAACTAATAACAAGTGAATAGTCTGAGTAATTAAGTTTAGATCTGCTGATTGCGATTTTAGATTTGAGTTTTCTGGATATGAAATACATAATTTTGAGAAAGGATTCTAATAAAATAATATAGTGACAAATTATTATTATCATTTTGGAAGAGATAAAGAGGTCAAATCAAACAAGAGGCTAGCTAGAACTAGAAACCTCATGGGCAAACAGTAACTGATTTGTCAGCCAACAACTGAGGCTAATACTCTGAGTGCAAAATACATTTAAATAATTTAGACTGTTATTTCTAAACAAATCATAGTCGATATGTCCGAGTGGTTAAGGAGACAGACTTGAAGGTTCGAACCCTGCTGTCGACGTTTTTTAGATAATTAAAAAAAAATGTTTTTATTTCTAGTTTGAAAGAGAGAGAGAGAACTTACAGAATGGCAGACATTTGGTTCCATTTAGCAGTAAGAGGAACATGAAGAGGTGGTAAAGAATCTATAAATTTGATGGGAACAACCTTGGTCTGCTTATCCAGGCCAATAACTATAGCAGCAACGAGAGTGAGTGTTAAGGCCAAAAGCCTCATAAGCAAATCACAAACACTCACAGAACCTGCTTTTGTCACCCCATAACTGCTGCTCTTATGCTCTCCTTCCATCTTAGCAACGCAACACTACAAACTTTATGACTCAAATGTGGAAAAGGGGCACCATCCCTCTTAAATACACAAGGACAAGGGGGGTCTTCATTTTTTCAACCAATACAAACCGGGAAAGGGAACTTTAATTTGCCCATATTAGCTATTCAAAATAACATATACATACCTCCACCTTTTTATTTTGACAGCTAAGCTGCTTCAGAGAAATGTGGAAAGGCATTTAAGAGGAAAAAGAAATGATGCAATTAATTAAAAGACGTTGTAGGTGTGGATAAGCAGTGATTGGCCTGAGAGTGAGAGAGTAGGCAAAGCAAAGCAATTGATATGAATGAATGCTTAGAAACATTTCCAACTTGCCAACCGTAAAGATTGATACAGCCCAAATGGGACAGTGCAACGTTTAGGGGTGCAGGAGTCCACACAAAAGTACAAAGATTCACACACACAAAATAAATATATATTTAGTTCAACCAAATATTACAAAATAAATATATATTATGTAGTTGAATACTATATTCTAGTTATATATTTAATTAATCCACTTAAATAATTTAAATAAGAGACAAGTATTTATGTTTTAAGAAATTTTTTTTTAATAAAATAAGCAATTCTATATGTTTTCATACACTTGTCTAAATTATTTTTGAAGATCTTTTTTAATTTTTAAGAAGTAATTTTTATTTATTTCTTAAAAATTTATTTTCTGACTTTTTAAGAAGCACTTTTAAAAAACTTTAAACAGACTGAAAAAATATATATATAGTAACTCATCATTGACTTAGTGTTTAGGTAGAAATTAATTAAAAAAAAACTGAAAAGTAACTTTAAAATTAAATTAGTTCAAGCACATTTTCTAAATAAAAATATTGTGATTAATATGCACAAATATTTTATTTTAATTTCATTAAAAGTTTATAGAGAAATATTAATAAGCCATTTAACATAAATTTTATTCTATTTTATCATGAAATGTTCAATTAATGTTATTTTCTCTGATTTCAGTCATCTTAGAACATTTGGGATGATAATGAATGGTTCCGTAATTATTGATTTCACACTTATGATATGTTTAGAAGAGGAGATTTAGTAAGGAATGAAAAAAAAATGGAGGAATTATCAAAAAATTAATGTGTGGAAGAGATAATAATTAGATTTAAGAGAAAATTGTAGTAGGATCTATGGGAATTTAATTTTACTCTCTTATAAGAGAATGTGTGAAAATTTTCAAAAATAAAATGTTTGGACAAGAATATCTCCACGGTATTGTATAAATATATAAATAAATATATATACATATATATCAAATATTTATATATTTAAATTATTTTATATATCTTTTTACTTTGAACCAATGATTCTTTAACTCAATGCCTCAATTAAATCATTTTTCAGTCCAAATATGATAACATTATACAGGAAAAAATAAATGTCATCGTACCTATATATCCTTAAAAAACTATATAGATAAAATCACTGAGGCCGTATCCAGATTCTTCTAACAAGTAAATATCTTATCCTTTGTCAATAACTTTTATACATGTGTATCAAATTATTTAGGATAAATATAAAATATAATTTATATATTTAAAGATATTTTTATTATAAATTATAGTTATAATATAATTTTATTATTTATTTATTACGAATTTCAGTTACATGAAAATAAACATTTATTTTATGTAATATACAAGTTAAAATATTGATTATAAGCTTTCACAATGTAAAAAAAAAAGTAAGATTTATTTTTATTGAAAAAATTATTAATGTTTACCGATATTTCAAATAAGATTGTCTAAAAGAAATAGAGGTGGAAAGAAAAATAAAAGACGATTGCACAAATTTAGATGATTTTCTTTTGTTTTAAATTCTTGAAATTTAAACTGAAGCTGGTGACGTTAATTTAGTGAGGAAAAATTGCATGTTACGAGATCACGAGGACTTAATTGCATTACCTAAGTTTTGCGAAACCAATAAATATACTCCTACTTCGTCAACCACTTCATGTTCATTTAAATGAATAGGTCTTTCATTTGTGGCTTTCTTTGTTTTCATGATCCCTTGATTTTAGGATTGGGTCCTACTCATAACTCATTGTATGATAGTTCTAAATAATTACAGTATTTTACGCAGTTTATTTGCATTGGGGAGGCTTCACAATAAATTTATAATTATTATTTCTAGTATAAAAACTAAAATTTATCTTCTTTATAAAAATTAATCATTTGTTAAATAAATGTTTAAGTTCTATTTTATTTTTTACTTAACTAAAAATCTCACATTATTTATAACAATCTTATATAATAATAATAATAACAATAATTTTAGTTTTTATTAAAATAAAATAAACACATTTGTTAAATAAAAAATATTAAATATCATAATTAATTTTATATTTAATTGTCATAATTAATTTGTGTGAGAATTATTTTAAAAATTATAAATAATTTATTTAATTAATTAGAGATAATCATCTTTATGATGTAAGTTATAGAGTGTTAATATCTTTCTTATACATAATCGACTTTTGAACTCAAATATGTTTTTGGTAAACCATTTTATTTTATATGGGTTTTTCAAAAAAATTTAAACAAATATCGGTAATGATTCCCTGTTTTTTAATATATTTTTGTTGTCTGGTGGTGATCCTGGTTGCTACACTGATAATTTTTTAAAGACAAGCCTTTTCAAAATTAATTAAGTAAATTATTTGTAACTTTTAATTTATTTATCTCACCCTTTGATTTTCTCCTTCTTGTCTATTTTGTTGTATATAGTTTATTTCATTAAGCATATTATATTTTGTGTGCTTTGTGAATATGTTTTATATTTGAATCATAGGATAAATAACCTATTGTTTTATATATATATATATAT